TGGCTGGACATTTCAGCAAGACAATGAGCCCAAACACAAAGCCAAGGAAACTCTCAGTTGGTTTCAGAGTAGGGCTGCCACGATTAGTCGATTAGTCGACTACTAATCGATTATTAAAATAATCGATGACTAATTTAATAATCGATTAATCGTTTTCTTTTTTTGTTTGTTGTTCTTTACAGGGACACATAGAGACAAACGAGACAAGCAACCATTCTTTCTCTTCACAATTTATGCTACATTCATACCAAACACATTTTGAGCAGCAAAAATGCACCAAACGCCTCAAGTTGGACACGCTATGTTCAGACCGGGACAGAAGACTAGATGCACGTCTGAAGAGGGAGGAGCGTTTTGGTTTTTTTCCAGTTTGTCTTCGGTGGATGAAATAAAGATAAAATAAAGAAAATCGATTTGCTTTATTTGCTAAAGAGCAAGTGAACGTTGCACACACCAGATGATTAATTCACCAAATTATTTAGAGGCAGTTTGTTCGGTTAGTTTCACTACTCCAGGAGCTGCGAGTTGACAAACTATCACCCCCCCCAGTATCACTTTCAGGTACTATATACAACACTGGATTTTAGCTAAAGAGCTCTCGTCTGTCTGTTTCGGGTTAGTGGGCAACTTTCAGGAAACCGTCACATGGAAAAATGAGTCTCTCTGATTGGTTCATGCCGCACGTCGAGCAACAAAAGTTCAGATTTTTGAACTTGAGCGTCGGCTGCTTCGGACACACCACATGCACGGAAGACGCTCTACCGCTACCTTCCTCTTTCTTGCGCACCGCGCTAAATGGACTTGACATGCCGCGAGACCCCTAGAGGTGCGTCCGCCTTAGACTTTGCATGTAAACTGGCCACTCCTGCAGCTCAAAATGCGTTTGATGTGAACATACCTTTAACATTACCAATTAGCCTGAACTTCACGTTTTCAGTCTGTGAGCAGAAACCAGAGTGCCACACATGCACAGAGAGAACATGCAAACCCTACCCAGAAAGGTCCCCAGCCGGGAACAGTTCTACCAACTGAGCCACCATGCCGCCCCACACCCAGAATGTCAGCAAGATTAGCAGAAGCCTGTGGATCACTCATTCATTTCAGTCTGCTGTGTTGAAGCAGGGAAACATCTAAAACATCCAGGGCACAAGGAACAGGGTTGAGTTGAAGCCAGCAGGACCTGGTTTACATGGATCGGATGGAACTTACAACTTTTTATGGAACCAGCCGACATGGAAGCAGATCTCAGTCTGTCATCAACTCCCATGTGTCCTCAGAAGTCTAGATACATAAACGACTAATGGTTCGGACATGATCTGAGAGAGTGATGCAGGGTTCTCAGGGTGTGGTGAGGTCATGGGTGTGAGAGCATCTCAGGGATGTGGAGAACACACAAAACACCTTTAGTGATTTGGTGAGGACTAAAAGCGTAGCACACTCATGACTGACTTCAAACTAAAGAAGGATTTCCAGTTTTGGTGTGATACTATCACATTCTTTAGAGATTCATGGCACTGATTTAAGTCTAGTGAAGCGATATGGAGTTATCTCTTACTTGGACCATCCCATTCCTCTGGCCCCCCAGCAGCGTGCCGGCTCTTCTCACTCTGACCCTCCATCTCTGCCTCTCCTCCTTCTCGGTTGCCATCTTCCTCTCCTGCAAAACAGAAAAAGAAACACATCTGTCATTAAAGGCAAAGCGAACCTCCCTTTTAAGTTTAATGTTCAGACATCTAATTCAATTAAACCCTGCATTACAAACTGCACTGTCCTTTCAAAGAGCAGATTCTTATAGACTCTGAATTGTGTCCCACCAAAAATAAATAAATAAATAAAAAAAACACAACATTGCTTTTAGAAGAATTTCCTGTAACATTGCAGCCATTGTGTGTTGTTGTGTATGTATAGCTTTGTACATGTGCGTTCTAGGTGAGCTCATCAGACCCAGCTGCTCTCGTCTGTGTAAAAAAAGGAGTTCCCATGAGGACTTGCAGGGACAGGAGGAAGCCTCATGGAACAGGAAGGAAAGCGATGTGTGGGAGAGAGGTGGCTATTTATTACCCTTTGATCTATTGTGGAGCCAGTCAGAATGTGTTTTATAGGATGTAGTGCTGATTTACAGTCTCGGGGCTCATGCCGTCCTGGCCAAGGGATATTTGGGTATCTCTCTCCAGGATGTACATGCTTAAAGAGCGAGTTCGACAAGGCTGTAGCAGTAACACTTTCAACACTCTCTCTTACTGTAAAACAAAAATCAATTTTGCATGTTTACAGTGAGTACAGTTTGCTCTGAAGGTTTATGAGGACCTAAATCAGTGCTTAGTCGATGCCCCCGGTGTGGCGCGCTGAACAAATCCAACGTGGCTGACACAGTGTGTCTCCAAACGCAGGCGAGGAGGATGAAACCTGCTCAGGGCGTGCGGTGGAGCCTGATGGTTTCTACAGGAACACTTTTCTCACTTTTGTCACCACATCTATTTCATCCCTTTGATGTTTTAAACCCAATAGTGAACGGTCAAGGACAGGCTGGGATTACCACGATGGATTATTACACTTCATACACTCTACAGGGAAAAATGGAAAGGATATGTAGATTCATCTACATGTGAATATATTAGAACAGGCTGTTGGAATACAGCTCGATACATTCTCAGAATAAATCATGCTGTTGATATTTGGCTGTTTATCACACCTGGATCTGATTTTCAGCTTCAGAAACAGATATCACACTTTCTGTTGAACTGCCACGGGACACACACACACACATGCACGCGCGCGCGCACATACACACACACAACTTCACTGTCCATTCTCTGTTAGCTTAATCTCCAGATCTGTGCTTGTTTAGCCTTTTTTCTGACATGGCTCACTTCAAAGAAGGTAGCAAACATTGCCAAAAGGATGTCAGCTTTCTGCCTCACTCTAAAATAGGAGATGTGTATATATATTTTTAAAAAAAACTGAAGGGAAGTCTTCAGAAATGTCCTACTTACAGTACATGAGGTCATTATGACCCAGTTTTGCTTATGCAAGTGTCTGCTTGTGCTGGCAGTTTTCCCCCTCCTCCTCCTCCTCCTCCTCCTCCTCCTCAGTATATTAACAAGCAGCCCACTCAACTAAATTCCCCCACTATTTATTGTTGGGCCCGGAGAACCTCTTTAGCATACTAGGCTCGTATTATGACGAGGATAACAAAGGCGTGTATCAACAGTTCCTTCCAACGGAGCGGAGTTTAAAAAAAATGCTGGCGAGATAACATTAAAGGCACTACCTTGATCTCAGGCGAACATGTTAAGCCCTGTAACGAAACGTATTGGAAGTGTTTAATTACAGCCCGGGAAATGAAGCTACAAGATGATTCCTTAATTAAGCAGTGATTAAGGATTTTCTGCCTTCTATCTAACACAGTTTGCAGTGCATTTTAAACACAATCGCCCAGGCAACCTCGCAGGGAACAATGTCACAGAGCTTTGATGAAGTTTCCCCGCACAAATGTCACAGAGAAGTGCTGCAGCAGCACTCTTTTACTTAGTTTGATGAAACCAGCTATAAAACCAAATCTGAGGACGCATTTCATTTCCTTTTTAACAACAGGAGTTTTGAGCTGTCTGGTATGAAAATAAAATTGATAGAGTCCACTCCGAGTAACAGATCCTCCGTCTTCKTTTATCATTTGAACCCTGTCCAGTTCTATAAAAAGAGGCGGGTTGTCAATGATCATCAACTACATTATCGACTAGATAATTAATTTATGTCTGGCTCAGGTTGTTTCCTCCCTGCGCAACCAAACGGCTTTAAGGCTGAAGAAATGGGGAGGGCGGGAGAGGCGAGGCGGCCTGCTGCGTTCTGGGGTTGGCGGGCATGGAAGAGGAGCCAGTGAGCTGTTAAAATCAGCCCCTATCGCAGCTCCATCAAAGGACGGCTTTCTAGCCAAATCGCAGTCGCACGCAGCACGCCACACATTCAGGTCAATAAGCTTATAGGCGATTTACACAAACAATTCCTCCAGCAAGGTAGCAACAAAGTCATATTGGCTTTTTTCCCCTCCCTTTTAGCATTGTCTCTGCTAAGAAAGCCCTTGAAAATGTCAATCTCGTGTGTGTGACTTCAAGGAGCTCAGAGCACACAAATCCTGACCACTGACTTTAAAGATCAGCCCCGATTTCTGAAAATGGAGACCAAGTGTTTTTAGTGAGTTTTACCAGCTGAGACTTTTCTGAACCCACCTCTGCCGCACTGGTACCAGTGCCCAGCAGTGATTTTTCAAGACATTAGGTGGGACGCTCGCCGCCCGCCCAGCAGCAGTTAGCTGATATTGAATATTTGGTTGCTGATGCAGATTGCGCTGCAACAGATGAAGTCAATTCCATCAAAGCAACCCCCTTTTTGTCGCGAAAGTCAAGCATAGCTGTAAGACTCCTCCGCTATCTGAGAAATAGGTCTGAATTGCATGCAATTTGTGGCCGCCGCAGCACTCCAACGGAGGGAGGCTATTAGAGAAATGCCTCGCCACTGTCTCTTTAAATGCCAATAAATTCCCATCATTACAGAATCTGGCAGTTTTCCTCTCTGTCTGCAGCCTGGCTCTTTATCTCACTCTGCCTCAGTCTTTGAGCATGTAGATCTGGCCCAGTTAGATTGTCATACTTAACAAACATTAATGATTAATTTCCTCCACTGAGTCAAATGGGGCTAAAGGGATGACTCGATTCATCTTATCGCACCACAAATTAGCATTTCCCCATATTCTCTAGCATCAACTGTGCATAAAAATTCCACATTTACCATTCTGGGCACTGGCAGCTGTGGTGAAAGAGCCAAGGAGATCTTCCTTCAGTGTTGCTGGAGATTCTGATTAAGTCTGTGTTGCACAAAGACTAATTAATTCTGGGACTTTTCTCTTTGCCACTCTATAACTCCAGATGCAGCCAGTGAAATTCTTTACGGAGAGGAGACTGAAAGGGTCAAGGTGGGTTTTTCATTTGCCGTGTGAATTCATGCAGCTCTTACTTTCAGCGAGCCACATTGTAATTTCTATAAATTGTAAAAGACAGCACATACGGGTACAAATGTTGGGCTCGATATGCCCTGACACATATAAAAAAAACTACTAAATCAAGTTTAAGCTTTAAAAAAATGGTGTATAACATTACCACACAAGGCTGAGGCTGAGGAAATGAGACACACGAGCTGACATGTAAATTTACTGTCTGAGCTAAGAAAGGAAGTCATTTGTCATCAGACAAGACTTGGAACGTTCAAAGGGAACAGCTTGTGGCAACACCCTGTGCTGAACTTCATACAGCCAACAATAAAAGCGGGGGTAAAACAGCAAGGTGAAATTTCACAATTTCAGTTTAAAAAAAGGGTGTTGCTAAAAAGGGTTTTTTCTTCCCTATTATAGACAGGTGTGTCAGGAGAGAATAAATCCTGGTGTGTTGTTTTGTATGTTTTCTACAAAAAAAGGGGAGCTCTATAAATATGAAATTGAGAGGAAGTTATTTGAAGTAAGATTCTTGTTTAATCACCTTGGAGAGGCAAGGTTATTTCTTTGAATTTCTCCATTTTTTTTTTCTTCACGGATCTTTTGAAGGCAGACAGACCTCCTTTAAAATGTCATGTATATTAAAACATGTTTATCCTCCACAGGAGCGCAGATGTTTATTCCCCAAGTTTCAAAGTCAGTGTTTTAAGTGTAATTGACAAGGAAGCRTTTCTTAGCTTCAGTGGCAAACAGAAAGTTTAACTGGGTGAAATGCAGATGAYGCTGATGAAGAGGGGGATGACGTGAGAAATCCAATGTTGCTTCAAGTGGCAGCTGGAGTAAAACTCAGAATAAAACAGTAAATGAAGATTAAACATTAAAGTTTTGTGGTTAATAAAGTGTCTGATTAGTTGTGCGTAAAGTAAAATAATGTTATTTAAATGAACCTTTACAGTTATTTGTTAGTGAAACTCTGACTGAGGTACACGACTGTAAACTTAACATTTTAAAATACTTTTGTATTTTACAGTTGTACTGTGTGTTTTATGGTTATTTACGAAACCAATTTACAGTATATGTACAGTGTGCAATTTTCATAATAATTTACTAAAAGCAGCAATAAAGCCAGTTTCAAAGTGTACAGTTAAAGTTTCAAAAATGTATTCAGTCTCAGATATTATAATCATATGTTTTACTTTGAAGTTCTGGAAACCAAATCTGCAGGTTTTAAATAAATGCTTCAATATGTTTTACAGCAGCCCTGTAAAAGTATTTGTTTTTTATTTGCTGAAAGCCTTCATAAGATTTATGGTAGCCTATTTCTATTATTAGTTACCATAAATAAATTCAAAATTATTACTTCTTCTTCATAAATTTCCATGAACAAAGAACAATTCTCAGCTCTGTCATTTAGTTTCAAACATGAATATGGGGAAATTTCAGCAATACCAGCTGCCAGGAGTTTACCAGAATTTCACAATTTTTTAAAACAACACATTGCTTTTTTAAGAAATCTAAAAACAATTAACATAACGTTTTAAACAAAAAGCTTGTCAAACTGATCCTAATCACCCAGCAATGAAGTGATAGGAAGTGTAAAAACAGAGGGTTTAGGAGACACTGATTCGAGGATTTGGGTAAAGATTCCTGCCTGATGCTGCTAAAACCACCAACACAACYTTAATTAACTAAATGAATAAAAGCACCAAAACTCCATGAGAGTCCTGATATGATTAACTAACTAAGCTATAGACTCAACCGTCACCAAATGTTATGGTTCTTCACCCTCTGACCAAAATGGGACGTCAAGGTGCTCCATTATCAGGGGAGTCCTTTTCTGCAAGGGTAAGGCAAACGGCTGAGTCTTTGGTGGCATTCAACTTCTTGACCTTTGCGCCTTTAAGCGGCTTTGCTACTTCACCGCTTTCTGATCAAAGTTAATAAGTGCTTCATATGTTAATGAAAATTGGTACTCCTCTTTGTGTTCCTACAGCTTTTTAATACCTATTATAGACTGAAACTTTTAATGGAGGTTTTAGGTCCCTCTGACAAGCCCATTTCGGCAAGTGACTACAACAGATACAAGGCTAAGCTAAGACCGGAGAGTCACTGCTCAGTGGAAGAACCTCACGCGGGAGACCTTAGTCTCCCGGAAGCAGCAGAAGATAAAGGCCATGGGATGAGTGGCTGCCTTAAAACCCACGTTCAAGTCCGCACAGGGCTAATTACAGCATGCCATCACATTTCAGAGGGTTTAGTTAATCAAGGGGGCTCTCTTTTTCCTTCTATATTTGAGGAATAACACWCTTAAACCACTTAATGCCGCCAGGATTGCATCCTGTTTAATTCAGCACCATTTCGCATAAGTGGGGTAAATTTAAGCCACTATGACATTAGTTTTAAACAGATCTAATTGAGGAAGGGATCATGGGGAAAATGGCTACACCTGAAGATTGCAATGAATTTGCCACAAAGAAGAATGAAGAGTGGATGGTACATCATTTGGGTCTTAGGAGGCAACGGGGGACTTAGCTACTGTAAGCTTAGATAGCAAAGTAATACAAAAAAATCTGACTGCTAAGGCTTGTGTGTGACAAGGAACAGATTACCAATGCCCACAGAAAGTAGTATTTGACATTTGGGATTGCTATGTCGTGTTGACTTTATCCATAAACATGGAAAGAAGATTTGAGTCGCAGTTTCTGGCGGTTTTATCCAAAACAAAGAGAGTATCAAATGGCTTTGCCAGTGTTCTTTGAAGATTGTCAAAAGTTGTACTTTCTTCCTTCTTTAGCCACCATTACGTTCTGCAGCATCTATTTCATAGCTGCTGGGCTATTAGAGGCCCGTTTGCCGCACTTTGAAGTTCGGAAGTTTTACCAACCAGGACGTCGCAGGTAATTGCAATTTTTCAACAATTGCGCCGTTCAACTTTTAATGGAGAACAAAAGGAAAGCACTATTGATAGGATTGCTGGGGCAAAGCCATACCTGAAACATGAAAGATTTGTTTAGTCTTGAATAATGTAATCCCACGAGGCACATCAGTTTAGAAGTGTGAAGAAATAATTCTAAACAGTATTTTCTTTGAAAGGGGGAGAGAGGAGGCAGACATTCAAAGCCTCGGTTCTTCATTAAAAAGTCAAATTTAAGGCATCGACGTGCCAACGAGGGTAGGGACACCTGGGGTAGGGAGAGGAACATAACCTGAGGGTAGGAGGAGGAGGGTTTGGTGGGGGGATGAAGTCTGTCATCTTCACACTGTAACCTGAAGCAGACCACAAATTAGCTCCTGTGATGGCAAGGTGTGACGGAAATGAAACAAACACACAAAGAGGCATTCTAATTGAATTGGAGTTCAAAGAGGACTTGAACGCGTTTGGCGATGCCGAGGTTCTTTATAGTGCTGGACCTCCGAGCTGTAGCAGGTGCAGCCGAGTGTTCACAGAGCTTCGGCGGCGGCTCACGGGGGACTACTTGCGGACTCCAGAGCATCGGTGTAGCACAGCAGATCTTCAGAGCACTATCACAGAGAAAGAGCCATCTTCCTCTCAGATCAAACCACTGCTCTTCGGTGGATTGCTGGGATCAAATATCACAAATGGAAACTGGGAAAGCTTCAGCTCAAGGTAGTGGTGCAGGAAAAAAAATCCTCAAATGCATAGAAGTTCTGCCAGGTTTGATCCGAGCAAGTTGATGAATTTTATTAGACAAAACTTAACTTTTAGAGAACATTGTGCTTATTTGGAAAAAAAAAACTTATTGTGTCCAATCAGGTGAGGGGAAACTGGTGTGATTCTTGTAAAGAAAAGAAAAACCTTTTAAATCCCCATCCTCACCTTTATTGCAGAAGTACTCCATCTCTTCACAGCTCAAGTTCTCCGTCTCGAACTCGGCCGTGAAGTTCTCCTCCGCAGAGAACTCGTCTTTGGCCAGGAGCTCATTCTCCTCGGAGACACACTCCTCCTCTTCTTCCTCCAGGCCATCCTCCAGAGGACCTGAGGGAACGCGCACACACACACACACACACACACACACACACACACACACACACACACA